CGGCGGCGCCGGAGTCGTCGAGCCAGCTCGGCGGCAAATCGCCCGCGGCCATGGAGCGGACCCAGCGCTGCGCGACGACCTTGCGGCCGCGCTTCACCGGGCACGCCGCGTGCCACAGGCGCTCGCGCTCGACGGTCGCGTGGTCGGGCTGGAAGTTCCAGAAGACGAGCGCGTCGCCGGGCTCCGGCGCGAGGCGGAGGTGCTGGTCCGACGCGCAGTAGGCGTCGAGCGCGTCCTCGCGGATGACCTGCTTCGCGAAGTCGACGGGCGGCGGCAGCGTCGCCGGCGCCGACGACGCGTTGCGCACGAAGGGGAAGATCGTCTCGCCGCCCTCGTCGGCGCGCTCGAGGGAGATCAGGACCGTCGCGACGCGCGCCGTCGACTTCGCGCTGTCGGCGTGGAAATTGTAGTAGTTTCTCGTCGAGTTGTAGCGCGCGACCTGGAGCGCCTCGCCGTAGCGCGGCGGGATGCCGACGGCGGCGTGCATGCGCTTGACGGCGCCGGCGACGACGGCGTCGTCGCGCTCGACGGCCCGCGGCACCATCCACGACTCCGACGTCCGCCGCTGGTCGTTCGCGCCGACCTCGAGCTCCGACGCCGCGAAGCGGCTCGACGACAGCGCGATCAGGTGGGCGATCTCGTTTTCGTCGAGCATGCCGTGGTGCAGGTGGATGCGCGGCTCCCAGGACAGCACCGTGATGTGCGCTCGCGAAACGGAGGCCAAGCAGACGATGATGGCCCAGGACAGCATCGTTGTTGTGCTGCAGGTTTGTCGCTTCGCGGACTGCGATCGGACTGGAGAGCTCGAAGGCGTCGCGCTGCGATCGTATCGTGCTGCTATTCGACTCAGTACACCATCCGAGAGCCAAAATCGAGGCCTTGTTCAACTTGACATTCAACATACTGCAGACGGGAACCCACGCGCGAACTAGGGCGCCGCTTAGAAGGGCTTGATCTGAGATCAGCCCCCCCAGGCTTTGCTCGTTTTGTCAGATCTGGGCTAAAACGCGTCTTTCGCTAGCCGATGCAGCGGTTCCAGGACTTGGCGCGGCGCTCGGTCTGTGGACCTTGCCGCGCCTCGGGCCCGGGTGCGAGTCGCTCGGGAAAGACCATCGGTCGAAGGCGAGCAACTTAGTTCGCGTCGGGGCAGCCCGTGGATGACGAGA